AGACCAAGCACGACACTCCAAGTACAGGCTCATCTACCACGCGTCGCTCATCGGCCAGACGGCGCCGAAGCACCAGGGCAAGATCCCTCGCGTGCTGGCTGCCAAGACGGCATTGGCTGTGCGCGTGGACGCACTGGACGATGCGACTGAAGCCACAATTGGCTTTGACAACCGCGCCAAGGGGGAGGCCCGCATGCGGCAGCTCGAGAACGGCTTCTCGGGCGTCCCCAATAGCAACGGGAAGGTCAAGAACGAGGCCAAGAAGTATACGAAGACGGAGACGAGCACGTCGTACAATGCCGATGCCGATATGACAGTGTCGAGCAAGAAGCGAAAGGCGGAGGAGGCGGAGGAGGAGACGGAGGCGGCGCCAACGGTGAAGAAGGAGAAGAAGCACAAGAAGAAGAAGGCGACGGAAGTGGAGGAGGACGAAGGCGACAAGAAGGACGACAAGAAGAAGAAGAAGCACAAGAAGAAAAAGAGTGCCGAGGAATAGACGCAGCCGACGTGTCGACGATCATTAGCTGGTTCACTGCCACATGCCCCTTTCTCTTTTACTCGATCGTGTGCTTTTTCGTCGACGGGCGGTCGTGGAGATGTGTGTGCTCCAAAAGTCGTGACGTTATCCTTTGCTTTCCATCCGATTATGTTGTACCCCGAGTCAAGAGAGAGTGTGGTGGTGGACACGATAGCGCCATGTACGCGACCGCTGTATTTGTTTCATCTTGAGCCACTGCGCTGCACGAGCACACTGAACGAAACGACAGCCACCACATGCAGACAGCAGCGCAGTACCTCTCTCTTCCTGCAACAATGAGCCACTTGTGCCGCACCAAAGTGCAGCCAACAAGACCACACTGCACACAACTGGCAGAACGCGAGCACCGCAACGGAGCCACAGAGGTCCGTGGAGCTTCTCACTTTTACGACAAGAGACATTACTGCCGGAGCCTCCGTCCACAAGCTGCAAGCCCATCAATGAAGAGCACCCAGTCCCGCTTCACCCCAGTCCCGCTCAGCCCCACCCAGCTAGTCGTCGTCACTGTCGTCGGCGTTCGGCTGTCCACCGCCCAGCATGCCCGCCAGCACCAACGACGGGTCGGCCGACCCCATCTCCTCTTGTGCTTTCTTCACGTCGTCCGGGTCTACTCCACATACCGACAACAACAACAACAAACGCACCAAACCCATTAAACATTCACCAAACGCACACAAATCAGTAACAACCGACACAGAGGCGGTACCCAAAACCGCGGCTCCCAAAGCCCCCAAAGCCCCCAAAGCCCCAAACAATCCACCGCTCGCCCGACGGACGTACCCATTCCGGCCGTCAGCTTCGGCAGCACGTACAAGAGCCCAATGGGCACAATGATCGTCAAGAACGACGGGTTCATCCCCAGCGTCAGCACGTTGAACTTCTCGCGCGGGTCAAAGTACTGAGCGCCTTCACGGGCTCCGCCTCCAGCGGATACCTCGCGGCCGTCCACGGAGCGCCCACGTACGCAGCCTCGCGCACGCGCACCGCTCCGTCGGCTTCGATGTCCACTTGGAACTGCCCGAAGAGCAGCGCCGTGGACGGAATGCTCACGACGTGGCGACCGATAGCGACGTCGGCGAAGCGGAACGAGCCGTCCGCCTGCACGAACGCCGTCCTGCGCGCCGCCGTCGAGTTGCACGACCGCAACGGAGCCACAGAGGTCCGTGGAGCTTCTCACTTTTACGACAAGAGACATTACTGCCGGAGCCTCCGTCCACAAGCTGCAAGCCCATCAATGAAGAGCACCCAGTCCCGCTTCACCCCAGTCCCGCTCAGCCCCACCCAGCTAGTCGTCGTCACTGTCGTCGGCGTTCGGCTGTCCACCGCCCAGCATGCCCGCCAGCACCAACGACGGGTCGGCCGACCCCATCTCCTCTTGTGCTTTCTTCACGTCGTCCGGGTCTACTCCACATACCGACAACAACAACAACAAACGCACCAAACCCATTAAACATTCACCAAACGCACACAAATCAGTAACAACCGACACAGAGGCGGTACCCAAAACCGCGGCTCCCAAAGCCCCCAAAGCCCCCAAAGCCCCAAACAATCCACCGCTCGCCCGACGGACGTACCCATTCCGGCCGTCAGCTTCGGCAGCACGAGAGACGCCGCGAGCGTCATGAGGTGTGGCTACGCGGATGACAGAGCAGGAGTTGTGGTGGTAGCCAATAGTAGTAGTATCACGTGTGGAAAGTAGTCGTCGTATTTGTGGTTACGATGGGTTTTTGTTGATGTGCATATGGTGTTTGTGGCATTTTACACACATATTGTCGCACGTGTGTGGGTTTTGTAGCTTACGAAAGAGTTTGGGGTCTGCTTGTACGTGTGCAAGAAGTCCGATTCGGCAAAGGCGTTGTCTTCTTTCGATGGATCATGCAAAGCTATGACATGACGTGTAATACGGCTCAATCGACGGCAGGAAAGGTGAGCGAGCGGTCACGGTTCAATCAGGATGTTGCATGATGCGTTTTTTGACAGGTGTTGTTGTCTTGATCATGATTGTTTATGCCAGGTTTGCCTATCGATATGATTCTTCGTTGGTCAATTGTACGAATGTTCAGGGCGTTACGCATGCCTCATCGACAACGGACAAACAAACTAGATTGCTATACACACAGATAGCTGCCGCGAAGGTTGGCGCAAACGTCACACGCACATGACCAAAATAGTTTCATCTTTTGGGCTTGCGCTGATGGTTGTACGATAACGCAACACAATTGCGGACTGTTTAGTCAGTAGGAACGACCCAGTTGTCCAAAGGCGTAGACAGAGCACGGCTGGCGATGTGAATTGATGTTTATGACTCGATTAAACAGCATGGGTTGCGGTATGGGGCTAGAAGTACCTGAAAAAGAGGATGACAAATAAACTCGCAAGGGTCGATACCAGAAAACAAACGCTCCAGTAACTCTGGCCAACAAGTAAACGCTCACGAGTAGCATGTCTCACACTGAGTCGGTGAAAAACACGCCGCAAGCATTGAAGTCTATGTGTTAGAATGACAAGAAACAAAACCATGACAGAGACGGCAGAATACAGCAACAAGACCAAACACGCCAAATTCACTCTCCAGTATATTAGTCGTCTACCACTGCAGCGCGTTATCTACCCTGAAAGTTGGTCTGCGACCGGCGCGTTTTACGCGCCACAGGCTTCGTCGGAGTATCTACTCCTTTTACTTATCAAGCTCGCCGGCCTTGAAATGGTGATTGGAATGCATCCACCGGTTGACTACATCAACAATTGTATCACGAGGAGATTTCAGTCTATAGAGGTGGTCTTTCACCGCGAGCATTACACTGCTATGACTATCACCAGTGAGCCCCGCGTCAGTAAGACGATTGGAGACCGCTCTCATAACATCGGCTCTACCCATTCGACTTTCGTTGTCGGCGACCGCTTTAGCCTCAATGTCGTGAAGGCCACTCGGCGGATCGCCCGCCGCATCGCCACGAAGTGCATGGGCTTGTAGCAGAGTCACCTCGGACAGGAAGACGACGAGGCCAGGCAGGAGCACGGCGTGAACGAGACGCATTGCTCGCTGTGGGTGTGGAGGAAGTGTTTGCTGGAGGGTGAATGTGAATTTGAGGTGGAGTGGGCGCCTCGGAGACGCAGTGCGCCCGTCATCCAGCGTGCGGTTTGAGCCCTGCTTTCGAGACATGCGTCCGGTGTCTACCGTATGGTCATAAGACTGGAAAGTGCGTTTTACTGCTTTTATCCTTACTATCGTCCTAGCCAAAGTATGCAGCTCAATATGCCATCTGAGATCAAAAATCAGCTCAGTGGAGACCGGCTTCTCGACTTGATTCTTGCATAGCATCTGTAGCACAAAACCAGTCGACGAGAAGCCACAGTCGCGCATTGTATGGACCGCCTCGTTCCTTCCATCGATTGACAGAGCGCCGGACACTCGAGTCTATCGCAAGGTGGCTCAGTGATCCTGCATCCCTGATCAAAGGGCGATTTGCCCCGCAGTAGCTGGTCGCCAGATGGGACGATTCACATCCTGAAGCAGAGGAGAGCAAAAAACTTGTCTATCCATCACCCATTATAGTGATGTGCACGATCTCTCCAGCAGCTCCTCAACCAGAACGAGAGCGCCGGGTCCGGCAAAGATTCGTGGCAGTGCGTCGGGGGGGGGGGGGGGGGCAGCGAGTCGTCGCAAGCATCTAAGGCGAACAATTCGAGATCGGCGTGAGAAGGACCTGATTGAGCCACGGAAGCGGCTCTATCCTGTTTACACTAGCGAACGCACTGAATGGACGTACGCCTGTCGTATGGAAGCACCAGACACAGTAAGACGAAGCAAACTGGATGCCTCGAAACACGGCGTCGTTGCGCTCGCACCACAATGGTGTGATGCAGGTGGAGCTCATGAGGAATCATGT